AAAAAGGAAAGGTTTTAGCCTCAACACAGTAAAACTACATACAATAAGAACAATCATCAAGTAAGGATTACATTCACAATATCCAGTCTATTTGGCAAATTCAAAGAAACTGCTATATTATCTACCCTATCTTGGTTAGTCCAAATTTTGGTACTTAATTCAACTTGTATTACCAACCTAAAACTATCTTTTTAAACCTCCAAAACATTTTCTTAGATAAACAATTTAAGCTTTATGTCTCTCCACCTTGTACACATTATACCTCTTTTGTGAGTTTCTTTTCTGAATTTAGTAACAAAGAAAACTGTGACTGTTAACTATCTCAACTTCAACTCCATCAGATACCTGAGAAGGATATAATATTACCCAAATAAACAGGAAGTAAAGAGCAAACATCTTTCAAAACCATAGAACTATTAGGATATAACATTACCTAAGTAGCCAGGTGGTTGGTGTAGTAGGTTCTTCTGTTCATATGTTGCTTTCATTGGTTAATGAATACAGAAACTGCTTTGGGCATGATAGGACAGAACTTAGGTAGGCGGGGAAGACAGAACTGAATGCTGGGAGGAAGAAGTGCAGAGTTAGAGCCTCCATGGATCCTCTGCCTGAGATGGATGAAGGTTAGAATATACGGTAAGCCAATGCCACATGGCGATACATAAATTAATGGAGATGGGTTAAACTAATATGTAAGAGTTAGCCAATAAGAAGTTAGAGCTAATGGCCAAGCAGTGTTTTAATTAATACACTTTTCTGTGTGGTTATTTTGGGTGTAAGCTAGCTGGGCAGGCAGGACAAACAGGCAGCCCCTCTCTCCTTACAACAGGTGGTGGTGGCAAACACCTTTAATACCAGCACTTGTGATGTGGGAGTGATTTCTTATTAATAAAGAAACTGCTTAGACCCATTTGATAGGCCAACCCTTAGGTAGGCGGAGAAAACAGAACAGAATGCTGGGAGAAAGAAGCTGAGTCAAGGAGTCGCCATGATTCTCCCACTCCAGACAGACGCAGGTTAAGATCATTCCTGGTAAGCCAGCTCGTGGGCTACACAGATTAATAGAAATGGGTTAGATCAATATGTAAGAGCTAGCCAATAAGAAACTGAAACTAATGGTTCAGGCAGTGTTTAAAAGAATACAGTTTCCGTGTAATTATTTCAGGGCATAAGCTAGAGCTAGCCATGTGGGCGGCCGGGTGCCGGGGACGCAGCCCCGCCGCTCCTATTTCAACACACTTGGGAGACAGGGGCAGGCAGATCTCTGTGAGTTCGAGGCCAGCCTGGTCTACAAGAGCTAGTTCCAGAACAGGCTCCAAAAGCTACAGAGAAACCCTATCTTAATAATAATAATAATAATAATAATAATAATAACCTAAGTAAACAGGAAGTACAGAGCAAACCTCTTTCAAAACTATAGAAATGACAGAAGCAGTTGACTACAACACTGTGGCATCTGTCTTGGGCCTAGAGGTCTGGATATCTGATAGACTTTTCTGTGAAGCAGGAATTTTGAAGGACTTGTCCTACCCTGTCTCAGCAGTCACTTTATTTTGTGTCCTGCACATCTAATTTGGACAAAATACTGTCAGTAGTGAAGGCAAGGGTAGTTTCTTACATAGTGGCTAACTTTGACACAGCAAAAGCAAACTCCATGTGGAAGTTCTTTGATTCCCATCATCCTTTTCTTGAAGCAAATTAGTACTACTAGGAGCATGTCTCACTCTCATAAAAAAAAAACTTAGGTTATTAAAACATCTTAAATGCCATATGTGTAAGTCTCAGAAGTGTTTGAAGACCATTTACTGTCTAAAATATATCCCTGTTTAACCTTGAAAATATAACTAATATGACTACAAGTTTAATTATTATAGATGACTAACTACTAACCTGTATTTTTAAATTATACATTACATTTTTAATGAGCTTCATAAGTACAATATCTACTCTACAAGAGTAGAAACATAAATACAGCATAACAAAAATAACCTTAAATTTGTATCACTACACAAAAATCCATACCAATGTAAAATATTTGAGATTAATAGTTGCCTTTTAAACAATAATCGCCCCTTTTATTCTATCCTTTTAGTTTGCTTTTACATAAATATCCAAGGGCAAATAGCCAAAACCTTCTTGAAGAACATGAAGAAACCTGGGTAGCAAGGTAGCTATAGGTCCTGACAATGGTCTTTGCGTAGACAGCATACATTAGGTTCTACCGCGTAATGTATCTCCTCTCTGCAGAGCTCTGAAATCTGTTCATAGGTGCATCAAGAGACAGGTAGAGAGCAATCCTATCTGTACCATTTGCAAAGCAGAAAGAAGACTGGGTATATTTTCCAAGGTTAATTTCCTGGCTGTGCTAAGGTACTGTGGTTATGTAAGATGTTATTGTGGGGCTGTTGGATGAAGAGACACAGAAACTTCCTGTACTATTTTCTGAAACCTCTATGTTAGTCTAAAATTATTTCAAGCTTTAAAAACTGGACACATTTTGCTGAAAATGGTTTGAAAATTGGGGCAGACAGTGGAATACAAAGCAGCCGTGGGAACGCAAGACTCTGCTCTATGCACTGACAGGAACCCTGGGAGCATAACGAGGAGGAAAGTGCAGGTCATGGCACAGAGTTTGAAATGTGCACTCGAAAGACTCACGGGAAATGGAAGTGCCGAGATGTACGTCTAAACAGATTGCACCTGAAAGAAAAGCCATAGTTGGGAGCTTGGGGGTTAAGGAAGGAAGAAAGTGAGGGAACCCCCCCCCCCAGGGCATTGGGAATGTTAGGAGACAGGTATGTGCTCCTAGTGGTGACAGTTTTTCTGTGTCCCTCATCCCTCCACAAATGGCCCAGAAGGACGCCTTGCAGAAGAAACTCTCTCTAGTGGGGCTGCTATGTCAAGGCATAGCGTGGCTGTTTTTTCTATCACATGGTAAATGCCTGATATCCCAGGACAGAATACCCCTAAGAGACAAAGGGATGAAAACGTGGGAGACTTGGACTAGATCAGACTCTTCGTGTCTGAGGCTAAGATTCCCACAGCATGAAGACCACACTGTGTGTACCAAGTACCCAAGTACTGCCCAGACTACAGGAGCCAACCCAGCTTTTGCCATCTGACCTAGAAGTATCGTCATCGGAAGAATGCTGCAATGCATTCTGGTCCATGGTTACCCCAGTTGTACTTGGAGCTAAGCCCCATGAGCTATCTCAGAGGCTTAGAGGTGCCCAGAGGTCTTCTGCTCCATTTCTCCTTCCCAAATGCCCTCCACACCCTACCTGTGTGTGAAGGACCAGATATTCAGAGAGACAGTACAGGATCAAGTGATCAGAGAGGGGTGGTCAGGGCTGAGCTAACCTTGCCCAGAAGACCATGCTTTCTCTCACACACTTTAACTTGCTGTCTCTGGCCTCAAGGATGTCTTCAGGCCAGCATGAGAGGCTATGGGGAGATAGTAGTACCAGAGAGGAGGTATGGGATGGAGGATGTGACCTCCTTGGATGTCTTGATCTCCACTGGCCTTTACTTAACGGCAGAGAGGACTGTGGCTGAGGAGTGTTTGCAGGGATGCCCACCTCTTGATATGAAGACACAACATTGCCATCTACAAACCTCACCCTGGAGAACCAGGAAATGAAATCAACAGCAACAAATTGCAAATAAAAATAAAAAAACCCACCCCGATATCTCATGTTTACGTATGATTACAATACTGCATTGGTCAGCATTCATAGCTATCCTGCACGACAATTGGCCTGTGGACAGAGGGTTGGACTGTCCTTGCTTGGTGATCCTGAGATGGCAGCAAACTCAGGGCTCAAGTTGGGTGGAACCTGGGAGAGTTATCCTGTCTGGTGGCAAACACAGCATGCTTATATCCCAGGGGCATGATCTCCAACCCCAGGCCCTGTAAACCAAAGAAGATCATGAGAATACAACAGTTACAATGATTGGGGTTCTAGACATTAGTTTGAGCTTCAGCGACTCTTCCCTAAGCTCTGAGTAGGGTCCTTCAGATTCTAGTTGGAGTCTCAGCTGCCGCTTCCATGGTGTTTACTGTGAGGGCTTAACAAGCGGTGGGAGACTGCAGTGAATACTCCCTGGGAAAATTCACAAATTTACGGTAGGCATGGGGCACATTCGCTCCTGGCTCTGTGTGTAGCATACACCACAAATTCCAAATGAGCATTCCCTGAAGGCCAGAGGTCAAGACGAGCAGGCAGCAAGAGAGAAAGAGGGGGCTTCGTAAGGCCTCTATTAACTGGATGTTTTAGACTGGGCTGTCCTGTGAGTGAGTCCAGTCCTAGTGTCTACCCTTTGCTCTCACCCTGCTGTGTGCGTCCAGAAAGCAGAGATTGAATAGGGGGTTGCCCTTGTGTCCTCTTGGAGCTCATTATACAAATAAACATAAATAACAAGGCAAAAGAGTGCAGTTGGACTGGTGGTCTCAGGGTGGGGAAAGGCTGGGCACTGTCCTGGTGTTAGTGGAGCTGGCTTCCACCAAGCCTTCTCTTCCATGGAGTAGATTAGGATTCAAACCAGTGGGTCTGCCTCAGGCACGTCCTGTGAGGGCGTCTTCTCTCCCACGGGCCAGACCTGCTGGGGACACCATAGACCCCTCCCCATGAAGAGTCTGGGCCTAGATGGAAGGGCGAGCTAGAGGTGACCAGGGGCGACAGAGGAGCCCCACCCCGGTCTGCGCCAGGTATTCTCACGTCTTCCTACTAGCCACTATACCATGCACTAGCCCTTTCCTTCCCGCCTGTCCGACCACTACTCTCCGTATCTGTGCCTGAGACGGAGGAAGGGACCCGCATCCAGGTGTCAAAGACCAGAAGCAAATGTCCCCCTGACCACGTCATATCTTTTTTTTTCTAGGTGGGTGGGGGAAACAGAAGTAGCCGGGCCAAGCAAGCCGCTCCGCTGCGGGGGTAGGGTGGGGTCGGGGGCGCCTCTCGTAAGCACAAGGCGAGGTGGTTCTCCCAGGCGGGCTGCGGCGGTTGGGGAGGGGGGGTTGGCGCACGCCCCCCAAGCCCCGCAAGCCCACGGGCCTCGCATGACATCAGATGCCAGGGAGCTCGCAGAGCGCAGGCGCGGGCGGAGCAGGCGGGCGGGAGGGGGCGCGTGGCGCTGCTGGGGAGAGCGCTCCTCCGCCCAGCTCGGTCCCTGCGCCCCGCTCCACCCGTGCCTAGCTGCCCGCGCCGAGCCTCGGGCGTCCACAACGCGACTGTCGCCCGTGCAGCCAGCGCCGCCCTCGGCTGCGCCGCACACCCTGCCTCCTCCCTTTCCGCCGTCGCCGCCATCGGACACGCAGCCGCAGGCCGGGGCCGGGCCGCAGCTGGGGAGTCAGGGGCGCGCGCAGCCAACCCTTCCCCCTCCGGCTCCCGCACCGCTCGCCGCCTCCCCTCGCCCTCCTACTCTCCCCTCCCTGCTCCTTCGCCGCTTCCTCCTCCTCCTCCTCCTCCTCCTCCTCTCCGGGCCCCAGCTGCCAGCACCATGTCCGCAGGGGGAGATTTTGGGAACCCGCTGCGAAAATTCAAGTTGGTGTTCCTGGGGGAGCAGAGCGGTGAGTACTCGGTTTATTCTCTCGGCTCGGAGCCGAGTGCTTTCCCCATGCCGCCCATTCAGTCACCCCACTGGGGACCCTCCCAGCCCCGGCTCACCAAGGCCCTTCCACGCCCGGGCGGAGGAGGAAAGGGATGCAGATGGGGAAATGGGGCCGGCTCGGGTGGGGCCGGGCTGGGGAGGACCCGGGGTAAAGGATGGAGGCTGCTCCAGGGTCAGGATATGAGGGTGAGGGTGGGATCTGGCTTGGGGTCCCCCGTGCAGGTGCGTCCTGGAGGACCGAGGGCGTCGGCTAGCACAGTGGCTCTAGGCGCCGGGCTCGCGGGCTCGCTGACTAGCTCGCACTGCGGCACCGGCTGCGGAGCACGGTGCAGGTGTCTGGGTGCCAGGGAGGGTGTGGGCAAGGGGACAGGAGTCTCTTTTGGGAGAACGAAGTGGGGCTAGGGGCTAGTTGCCCCCACCCCAATAAGGTTGCGCCCGAGGGGTTCCCTTTGGACCCTACCCAGAACCAGAGGAAAGGACAAGTCCAGCCCCGAAGCAGATGGCTCTCGGGAATGGGGGACATGACACCTGTCCCTTTTCGAAAAGAGTGGGTGCAGGTGGTAGGGGAACAGAGTGCTTAGCTTCCCAGGCTTACATCTGACTAAGAAGGTTCTAGACCCACTGTCCTTCACTAATTCATTAGCCTCTTTGGGGCTCAGGGGTGTAGACCATGAGAGTGAAGATTCTCTCCACAGCAGGTGACTTGGGGGATGGTACAGAAGCGTCTCATATCAAGGAGCTTGGCATTGGGCAGAGAAAGGCCTAAGCGACACGCCCTGCCTGGCTTCCCTGCCCCCTCCAGAGAGCATCATTGAAGCCGGTGGATTCTCCCACCCCCATCTCCCAGCTCACCGCCCTTCTTGGGGGAGGGGAGGTCACCGTGACAGCCAGCCAGAGCCAAAGGAGGGGGAGACTGAGGGTTTCTTTGCTGTCCAGGAGCCTCCCCACCCCAAGTATCTGCAACCCAGGTTGGTCCAAGGTGGGAAGCCCAGATGGAAGAGCAGCGACCCCTCTGATACCTGTAGGAAGGTGTGGCTCCATGAACCTCGGTCCAGGAGCCTCATCACCATCACCAGGGGGTTACAGAGACAAGCTAGGCTCTGAGCATTTCTGCTGGAGGAGAAGAGGATCCCCAGGGGGCGGGATCTCCGGCTCTGGCTCTGGAAACCAGTCCTGTTGGCTGGTTTAGAGTCCAAGAGAAGGAAGGCTGTGGGAGGACCTGGTGGGCTCAGGCACAGTGCAGCTATGACGTGCGTGCGTGGGCTGTGGGGGTCACATGGCCACCTTCTGTCTGTTGATGCTCTCAGTACCTGATATGGAGGGTTGGGATCAGAATGGAAGACGTGGTTGCCAGTCCTGGAGAACTGGGTTTGGGACATTTCAGATCCAGACCAGCCCAGCTAGGTAGTCAGCCGGCTCTGATTTCCAGTTCTTTGTAGATCCTAGTGTCACAGAGGACACTTCCGTCCCTGCTGTGTAGAAAGGGTTTGGATGTACCTCAGCCCTAGGAGGGAACCTGCTGGTGTACAGCATCCTTGAGGAAGAAGTCTCAACTATATTGTCTTCTGCCTAATTTGAGGCCTCTCAGACACTCAGTTTCTGTCTCTGAAAAATGGCTGTCTCTGAAAAATGCCTCATGTTTTCCTCAGTGCCTGCACTATGCTCAAAGAATTTTGTTTATTCCAAATCTGAACACAGTTCCATAAAGAATCATATGTGGTGGATTTGAATGAAAACTCTGTTTCCTTAGAAACACTGCTGATGGGGGAAACCCTTGCTGAGAATTCTGCCAATCCCTCCCCCTTTTCAGGTCAGAAGTCACAAAAGTGAGAGTCTGCCTTTGCCCCAATGCTTCTGTGGAAAGGAAGCACCAGGGAATAGGGAGGGTTTGCCTAGAGACCCGTCGTGAATTGTGAGCACTTTAGGAGCAGGAATCCACATTTTCACTAGCCTGTCACTGGGAAATAAGATGACCTTCAATGGGGGAAGCCACATCCGGAACCTCTTAGAAAGGATATAGGGGCTCATGGATAGTTTGGGTGACTTAGAAGGAATGCTGGACTAGTTAGCTGGGGGTAGAGTTCATGGGCCCTTGGAACATGGTCCATCAGTGAGATTAATTGCTAGCCACCTTGATACTTTCTGGCAGACAGCCCAAGCTCCTGAATAGTTCCTTCAGCTTAGCTGTGTCATTAGTGAGTTGTTTACCTCAGCTTTACAGAGCCTTTGGTGTCTGTGAGTTGCAGAGGTATGTGTATCCCCAAGCCCAGCCGTGTCGCCTTACCTATGCATGCTTTTGCATGCTAACATCCTTTGCAGCCTGTGCTGTGGAGGGAGGCTCCTGAGGTCTGATCCAAACTCTACCCTAGGTCTCCCTTCTTCTGTGATCTTGCAGGCCCCTTGCCTTCTATACCAGGGCACTTGAACCCGCTGAACTCTGAAGCATAAGCTTGCCTATCTGAGCTGGGTCTGCTGGTGATGGGGGAGGGGAAATACAGACATCTCCTGATCTCTACTCCTGGCAATATGGTGGTATGCTCTAGACTGGTGGGCAGGGAGATATCTGAACTCCAAAGAGGAGGGTCAGCCTTGGAGCAGGGTAAGGAAGAAGATACCCTGGGGCAGTTAATCGCAGGTAGGCATGATGCCTTCAGAGGTACCAAGGAACTGGCTCAAATGGGAAAGCTTTGAGTGCCCCGTCTCTGGAACACACCTCCAGCCTGGAAGAGAGCGTGACAGCAGAGTCAATGTTATCACATGACCTATGGACTACAGTCTGGCTGGCAGTGCCAGCCCCGCCCGGGGATGGGGCCTCAGTGGACACTAGGGGACCTAGGGCAAGGTATTTCTTTGCATCAGGGAGGCCATCCAGTCCCGTTTGTGCTCACGAAGCTGTCCGGGTCTTCCTGACTAATCCTAACATGGATGACAATGGCGGGGAACACAGGAGGGTGACACACACCAGGCTGGTCCACGACCCTTGATAGCATCCAGAAAAGACAGACAGGCACAAATGTCTGAAGGGGAAGTGGACATGAAGGGTTTCTGTCTTCCTCCCAAATTATCAGAGCCTTCAAGGGCATCTGAGCCTCGCCAGACACATCTTGGTGTGTGTGGTGAGGAAAGGGGGAAGAAAGAGTGGACGTACCTGAGGCAAGCTGTCTGCTGTCCCAGGCTGAGGTCAGTAGGCCAGCCTGTGCATCCGTAGGCCTGAGTGCAAGGACAGGAAGAGATTTCAGAGAAGCTCCCTTGCTCCCCTTCCTCTAGCCTGCTCGCCAGAAAGCATAGGTGGAGGCACGGGATCTGCCTTGCTGGCGCCCAGTAGAGACTGACCCCCACTTCCTCCAGTTAAGGGTTAAGGACAAGCTGCCCACAGGCTCAGCCCTGTTCCGTGCAGCCTCCCTGCCCACCAGCACACAACTGCCCTTCAATAGCTTGGTGATGTGCCTGCTGCTCCCCTTCCAGAAGCTTTCTCCTTCTTTCAGTTCCCAGGCTTGCCTTGCCACAAATGGACAAAACTTGTTTTTTTTTTTTTTAACAAGTACTTAAAAAAAAAAAAAAAAACAGTTGGTCATGTGCTATCCCATGACCCTCTTCTCTTGTTTCAGTTAGCTAAGGATTTTAGGATGCTCATTAACCCTTTGGGGTACCCGCCAGAGCACTTCTAGAGGATTGTGTCTTAGTCATCTCCTGCCCTCGCCGCCCCATCTGTGGGCTGTGTGTGCTCACCAAATATCTTGATTTGAAGATGACGACATCCCTGATGTGTGAGAGTTGATGATGGCCTGTTGGCAGATTAACAGTGAAGGAGTCAAGGCAGCTTCCCTGCATCCTGGCACTTGCCGTCTTCTCGTGCCAGAGCTTCTTACCAGGGACACTTGGCAGGTTTTTTTTTTCCTTCAGGGAATTTCATCATTGTGCCATGGTCATGCACAGTCCCCTGAGATTCTCAAGGATTTCCAGCTCCTTTTATATCTCTGAAGAAACCTGGGGGAGCTCCCATCTTAGCAGGGTCAGGAAGGGCATGTCAGACCAGTTCTCTTGGGGGCCTGGACTAAACCACCAAGCTCTTCTGTGCCTCAGTTGCTCATCTTACTTTCTTTTTTTTCTCTTAATTTTCTCTCTCCCTACCCCCTCCCTTGAATGATAATACACGAGAGAGAACCTTGGATGTTGGGTGCAGACTTAGAACCCTTGATTTCTGTTTGTTTCGAGAGGTGTGTAGGAGAGACTCGCATAGACACTGAGAAGAGTGTACCAGTGTGCTTTCTGGTACTGCACTGAAACACCCGAGTCAGGCTAGCTTTGCAAGGAAAGTGGGTGCCTTTAGCTGACACCGAAGAGTCAAGGACAGGGTGCTGGCAAGTGGCTCGGTTCTAGTGAGGCTGTCATAACAGATGACATCGCAGTGTTGGGAGTGATTATGAGAGCGTGAGGTCACATTACCACAGGACGGTAGATGACTTCCAGTCCCTTCCCAGTCAAGCTCCAGTGCACCAGAAACCTCCTAAAAGGTTTCTTGTCTTTTTATTTGTGTGGACGATTGAGTGGGAATGGGGATAGGGGGATAAGATGGTGGCCAAGGGTCTTATATAGTCCTCACTGGCTTTGAACTCCCCGTGTTGCTGAGGATCACCTTGAGCCCTCCAAACTCCACCTCCTGAGTGCCAGGGATTGAGTGCAGGGCCTCGTGCCTGCTAGACTAAGCACTCTGTCATCTGAGCTAAATCCCTGGTTCCACCTCTTAAAAGATCCACTACTACCCGAGGGACAAACCACATCCGGACTAGAGACTTGAAGACTATAGGCAGCACAAGAGAAAAATGGCGTCAATAGTGCCAAAGATAGATACAAAAGGATTTGCCAGTAGAGAGAAAACAAAGTGTGCTGGCTGTGCCCTGTAGTGATGACCAGCTTTTGAATAATAACGTTGTCATTATCTATAGTCCTTAAATAATT